CACTCCTGTATCTCCTGCATTTCCAGGGCTTCTTGCACACTGACCACCAGGAACCCAGAAGAGGGATGAGCATACAGGAGCTCCAAGACGTTTGTTACTGCCCAGTGAAACAAACTGTGCTCCTGCTGTCAGCTGAGCCAAACAACTGAAACAAATGTTTTTTTAAAGCTGCAAGTTACACAGGTCAACAACAAATCAGCTTTAACTTGTCAGTTGCCTTGGGTACACAGTCAGTGACATCTGAGTTTGATATTTTCTGGGTCATTAAGACTCCAAAGGCATCTCATTCCTTCAACAACTAATAACTACTCTTTAGGACCTACTTAATGAAAATGCCCGTTCTTTGCTTTCCACCTTCTCTCACATACAAAAATAGTTAAATTCCTATTTTCTCCAAAAATGCAGCATCCTATGGATTAAAATCCTAGCACTAGCATATCCTTTAAAGGTTTCCTCTGGAGTTGTTTAAAGTACAAGTTCAGCACAGCCAAAAATGCCTTCACTCTTCCCCCAAATCACCTTCACTTCCTTCCAGTTCATGGTCATCATCATCATCACTAGCAGATGTAACTTCCTTTCCACTGTCAACCCTCCTCTCTGCACCTAAACCACTTCTGTTTCTCAGTTAGGTAACACAATACATTTTTAATCGCATTGCAAATTGAATTAACAACTGCTACTGCTCTGCTGGAAAAGAAAGGCAGATCCTGTTTCTTAGCTCCCGTCAGGCTCCTTCTGGGCACACACATCCCACAAGGACATATTTTAACCTCATCTACATCTCACTGATGTTTTAAATAAAGACAGGAAAAACACAGAAAAGTCTGACATTTTCAAGCATTCTATTACAGAATTTTTAATAATACTATCTTAAGTAGATTTCTTTATTTACCACAATTATTGCTATTTAAGCATCTGTGATGTTGTCATAAAAAGGTAGAAATATGTTTTAAGAAAATATTGGTAAGTTAAAAACATTAATCATTTATAAGGAGACTGCTGACTTTTTTCATAAATTTTATGCGATCACTATTTCTGCATTAATTCATTTCATCAAAGAAATAAATCAGTATGCTTGAGTTAATAAGATTTACAAGAATTCAATTTACCAGGGATATTTTGACATGAACAGACGACATTAGCAACCAAAGTTCTGCTCTACAACCTTTGAAAATGCAGTCATGTTCTTCGTATTTTTAATGTTAATTTTTAAATTGCAACAAAATAATTTTGTCAACTGTTCCTTTTGGTCATATGCTAGGTTAGAAAAGGAAATATTCTAGAAGCAAGTTTGACAGAAGTTTAGCTGTTTGCTCATAAATAGTTAATAACATTTTTAACCACTGAATGCAAACACAGAATATGAACTAAATTAGCACCATACTATCTGAGTGTCAGCTGCTAGAACTGAAAAATGATTTAGCAGTACTAACATCTATATGCACTACACTTAAAAAAACACGGTCTTGGTGAGTTGGAAAGGCCATACTGCCCACTGGAGCCTAAAGACACACCATCCCACAAACATAAGCAAAGCATCACAGATAAAGTAACTTCCCAAGATCATTCAAGTTTCCATCAAAAGGCTACAGAATTATTTAGGTCCTACTCCAAGTCTGACAAGTCTAAATAAAATAGTGAACAAAAAAACATAGTATAATCATTTAGTCTGTTTAAGACACATTAGTTGTAGCATTATGGTCAGGGTTAGGCTATTCTGATGGTCTAGTTAACCACTTGATGGACAAGGAAGAATAAATTAAATCCACAAAAATTAAAATGAAAAGCTCATCTCAGGATCAATGCTATATATGGCTGAGTTAGGGTTTGGCCACTAAAATTCTAAACTTTCTACATATACAAGATAAAATCCTACCGGAAAAAACTCCACCATCCCTTATTTTAATACATTTCCATCAAACAGCCTTGCTAAAGCTTCCTATGGAAGTGTGTCCTCCACACCTACACATACCAGTCTGTAGCCTCATAGGTAAGCTCCTTCAGCCTCAGAATAAAGGACCATGTAACTTCAAGGATCTTGAAAATACTTTGTAAAACAGTGCAAAGATTACATAGAACAGTGACACTTTAAATAGACTTTTGCTGAACAACCACTAGACAATGCTGCCAGATCAAATTGTATTCCACATTTATGAAATAAATCTGTATTGGACTCCAAGAAACGCCCATCTCTGTCTCAGACAACATACTAAGCTCCATCTCACAAGAGTGACGGGAGTGAGGGAGGAGGAAGACGTGTCTTAAACTAAGAAACCAAGTACAGGAAAATAGAAGCTCTGAAATCCAGAGCTGTGGTCAGAAATGAAAACAAAGTACTTATACACAGCAGCACCTAAAATTATAAAATACATACCACTTACAACTTTATATTGACATATTAAATAATTCTCTTGGTTCCAAATAAGAGGTGAGTGGCTCAAACTGATGTTAAATGTTCACCTCCCTTCCCTTGCACTGAGTCGTAGTTTTAACCATATTTGTAATTCTCTTGTCATTAGGATGTTACTTAAACACAAGCAGATGACACAAATTAAGCTTGTTACAGTAGATGTTCCAAAAAATGGTCACTGAGCAGGTCTGTCCCTAGACAGCTGCTGGACAGCCATGGTGGTTTCCACGTTAACACCAAAGTTAGTGCTAGTTGTTCCAGAGACCGCCCATCACAGGCTTTGTTTAATTCTGACTCACCTGGTTTTGAGCTACAAGTTCTATGCCTAAGTGGCCTTGCAACACAGGTGCTTTTTATTCAGGCAGCAGAAAACAACCTAGGCAAAAGTGGCCAAATAGCACTGCACAGCATCCAACTGACCAGCAGCAAAAGCTAAGTACCTGCATCACAGTTCTCCCTTATATATATTTAATCAGTTCTTTGTAGATGGTATCATACATTTTTCTGTTTTGATTCTGTTATTCTGTGCCTAGTATGATATTGAATTGTTTATTTACATTACTCATCTCCTAAGGATGACTTCAGTTGTCAGTGACTAAAAGTATTTCCATTTAGTTCCTTGAAAATGCCTTCAAATTCTGTATCTAAACATTTCCTATCTCATTATACCATACCACAGGCATATTGTAAAGACCTTGATTAACTAGATTTCCATCACAACAGCCTCACTACATCATATTAAGCTCTGTTCTACTTCATATTTTTCAGGCTTCCACTATGTCTCTTTTTCTCCAATGTAATAAGCCCACATTTTTGCCAGCACTGTAATTTTGCCATAGGAATAACTGCCATTGAATATTCACCTGATTTTTAAACGTTGGTCAACCCACTCCATGAAAATCAGCTCCCAAGCTGCAGATAGGATGCAAGACAGTAATTGTGGGCTGCTGAAGGCTAGCCCATGTTGCACTGTTTCTCTACTAAAATTGAACACAAGCCAAATTTCTTGTCTCATGAAAGTACAGACTTATATGTAGTAGTGCTCCTGGAAAACTAAGACAGTAAGGATTGATGCTAAAAAAGGCACAAATACATTTAACTGGCTTAAATTCACTTATATATGCCCTGAAATATTCAGAAGAAAAAAAAAAACTGCAGAGAAAATATCTGCAAGGGGTTTGACATAGGACAATCAAGTGCTTTTCAAGCCCATTTTAATAATTTTCCTGTGAGTGAAAGTCCTGAAGAAACACAACAGTATGACTTTATAACTTAGTGGGAACATCAATATTAAAAAGAAGAGTTTATTAGAATATTCAAATACACTTACGTAACACCAGCATTTGTCTAGTAAAGGATGCAACACAGTACAGACAGTAAATAACGACAAGTTCTTTCAACATAGTAAAAATTATAATCAAGTTATATTTATATTATACAGAAAATATTTCCAGACTAAGCTTGACATAAGCCAGAGGACATCAAGTGCTGTTCCAGTGTAATAACACCAGGAACTAGAAAATATATCCTAGCTGTGTGCAGTACCAAAAGTACTACCACAATAACTTTAAAATACAATAAAATACTACCAGATTCAGCACAGTAACAACTGTCTTTGTTTCAAAGTTGTTTTTTTTTCTTGTCGAATACAACTGAATGGGACAATAGGAATATGATTCAAAGTTACCCAAGACACTGCCTTTATTGCTCTGAAACACTAGTACCATTACTCTGACAAAGCAAGCTATGGTAGTTAGGGAGACTCATACCAAAACCAGTTAAAAATATAAAACCATGTCAGGAACACTACTCATGGAAAAAACTAAAGGAAGCATGGATGACTAGCATGGCTGCCAATAGTAAAAGGGAAGAGAATATTAATTTTAAAAGCCTGAAATTTTCACTAAGAACTTCACACACCCCAAGAAAGATGTCCAATGATTTCCTGAGCATCAAATGCAAGTAGTTTCAAATGCAAATAAGCACAAGGAGACCAACTACTGCTTGTTTTTTTGTTTCTTGAATAGTTTATCAGCATGTCAGGTCTACTAATGAGCTTCACTTTCCATCCAGTCAGCTCTCATGGATCCACAGAGTTTGTTTTCAAGAGGTTTAGCAAGGCAGAGGGAATGCTTGAAAGCTGGCAAAAATAGTGTTGAGACCTTTCTTTTTTTCCTTTTTCTTAAGAGAAGGATCTTTCAGTAGAAGTAATTTCAGTTGAAGTATCTTACGTATATTTCTACAAAAGTTCCACTTATGGTACATCATAATACTGTTGCATGAAGACACAACTTGAATACTGAGAAAAGAATGTTACTGTGGGTTTTACAGGACTACACAAATAATCATTTACCATCATGTGAACTGCTCTCCCATCAAACAAATCATAGCATGCATTAATAAACTAATGCATTTTTTCCTGTTTCAGATTAACACAAAGATACAAATAATTACATACAAATTTTCAATATGCTTTCTTCCTTATCTCTTTATTGTAAAAGGCCGTGATTTTGAACCAATATTTGGAACATATAATTAATGTCAGAATTTAAGTTCTTTAAAACCTCTGTAAAAAATAACTTTGTCTTACCATGGCTATGGGCAGTTCCTGGACTGAGACATGGTTGGTGTAAATCTTTGGTTGGAGTAAAATAGGCTTCTCTCCCCTGATGCTGGTTCATTCTTCCTGGAGTTATAGGCTGGTCATCACTGTTTGTTACCACTGCTGAAATAAAAAATGAATGCTCATTCAAAGATGTTATGTGCTTGTGCATAGACTTCTATTAAGAACTTCACTGCTGTTTATGAAACTGGTACTCAGCTGCTCTGTTGCAAAACATTTTGTTCTAAAAACTGAGGTTTTTAAACCAGATACGTGCTTTGAGAGGATGGCAGAAAGAAGCCAGTAAGACTGGTCTAAGACATGAGGCAAAAGATGAAAAAAATTACCATGAGGTTGGAAAGGCTGATACTCAGTAGAGATACAGCATTGAGCTGTTGCTTATCTTCTTTTCTTTGCCACTTTGTGATAGCTTTTGGTTTAACTAGCCTCACCTCGGCCAACCCACGAAACAGCTTGCCAGATCAAGCTGTACCAACATCCCAGAAAACTAAGATGAATGTCTGTATATACATCACAAGAAACAAGTCTTAGCAATACAAATCACGTGCAAATTCTGTCAAGGCAAAGGCTTAAAGCAGAAGAGTTACTCTCCTTGAACTTCATCAGTCTGAAAGACTTGTCTCGTGTCTTCCTACCTATTTCTAGGATCACCTGGCCAGCCATCCTGTTTTATAGTTTCTGTACATTTCATTAAGCTGCAGACAACCTTTTTTCATAATCAAAGAATGACTGTCTCTGTAACACCTGTTGTGTGAAAGCAGATATACTGACAATGTGTTCAAAGAGGGAAACAAGCAATATTTACTGAAGAAAAGACTGGAACTTACAACACAGATGATTTTAAGAGTTCCCAAGCTTTCCTTAAAAGTTCAGCAGAAGATTTGAGTCAAACCAAACAAGTTCTATTCTCTGGATGGACTCTGCAAAGTACAAAGGCCTTCTTAGCTTTATCACTACTCTTATTACAGTAGTGGAAACATTTTGCAGCAAAACCTGGAATGAACACAAAGCAGTATGAAAAAATAAAAAGGTGCTTGAGTGTCCAGAGAAGGGTAAGGAAGATAGTGAAGGGTCTGGAGCGCAAGTCTGATGAGGATGGCTGAGGCAGCTGGGGTTGTTTAGCCTGGAGAAAAGGGGACTCAGGGTAGATTTTACTGCTCTCTACCACTACCTGAAAGGTAGCTTCTCTCATGTAACAAGTGACAGGATAAGAGGAAACAGCCTCAAGTGGCATGAGAGGTTTAGTTTGGATATTAGAAAAAATTTCTTTACCACAAGGCTTCTCAAGCATTGGAGGAGGAAGGGAGCATTGCCCAGGGAAGTGTCACCAATCCTGGAGGCATTTAAAAGATGTGTAGATATAGCACTTGGGGACATGGTTTAGTGGTGGACTTGGCAATGCTGGGTTAAGAGTTGGACTTGATGATTCTTAAATGTGTTTTCTATCTTAAATGATTCTATGAAGAATGCAAGGATTGCAGTACACCCACCTGTATTATTTTTCTACATCAGATAAGCCATCTAAAGCTCTGCTCCAGACAAACTATGTGAACTGCTGCTGAGGAGAAATATGTGAGGAAATGGACAAGGGAGGCAACGAGCTCATTTTACCAGTTCAGAATTCAAGTCCATCAGTGCCAGAAGGCTGGTATTTCAAAGTACTGTCTGATTTTGCTCTTCTTGTACCAAACTAGCTGTCTATTGTTCTGCAACTACAATTAAGGGAAAGGGGGGAGCAAAGTAGTTGCTGAAGTCGTGGGAAGAGACCATACTGCAGAAGGTCTTGTATGTGAAAATAAAAGAGGGTAAGAAAACAGCTGCTTCACAGGTTTGCACAAAATGGGTCACTGCAAGGACAGTGAGCTATACTTGTTTTAAAGATTTAAGGTGTACAGTGCACTGAAGGAAGACCAGCTTTCACCCAACTAGCTGAAAACTCCTATTGATGAGCCACTGGCCACTTAGCTTCTGCAGGGATGGGATTTCTCAGCCTACTGTGCTCTGCAGGTGTCCCACCAGCCCCTATGCCACTGCAGCAGGTGACACTGTGGGCTCCACAACAGGAACTGCACTAGCAACCCCCTCCTAAGTAAACTGTGCAGAAGGCTTGTTTGTGAATGTACACCATGCAGCACTGCTAACTCTTTTTTAAGCTTTAGGAATTCCAAAGGTTTCTTAAAGCTGTCACAATGCTATCATTTCTCAGGCAGTAGTTGCCAGTAACCCGCAGCGTAAGCAAGCTCTGCACACGGGTGTTACTAAAGCGTGAGCTGCACTCACCAGTGGGGACTCAGTCACACTAACGGGACTACAAGCTTCAAGCTCACTGTATAATTCCTATTCCTTCATTAGGAGTCAATTAGGTCCTGCAACAACTCCTAGAACTGTCAGAAAGGCTCTTTTCCTACCAAGCAGAGTTTATGTATCACCTAATATAGAATACCATATGGCAAGCACTTCATGTGCCTGGGTATTCAAGGTGAACTTCTTAAAACAAGTGGGATTTTGAGAAATTCCATCTATAAACCTGAAGAATGATTGGCAGGAAAGTTTTTAAATATCCTTTTTATACAAAGCAGCATAAAATACTAAACGAATGGAAATAAAACAGATAAGAACATAACTATTTAGTCACACCATAGCAGCCACTAGGAGGAACTTGACCCCCCTTCTGCAAAATGCCTCATCCTAATGCTCAGACATTTGCTCTGAGGTGAGGGAGACGACAAGGCATTATTTTAGAGAAGAAACAACAAATAGTAAATACCAAAGCCTCCTTGTGACTCTTTGGAGGTCACATTTCAATACCAACAGAACTGTTGAGAGTTGAGCATTCTTTGTTCATGTTCATCATACTGGTCATCAAATTACTAATATAAAAGTTTGTCAGTACAAATAATACCTTAGAAGAAATATAAACTGGAGTCTTTACAGACAATTTATTTCAGGTAAAAATATGAAAAAAAATCTGGAGAGTCAGATTCCCACTTCTGTTTCTATAATGAGCCTCTGAAAGTGCCTACGCCACTGAAAATAGCACACAGACATCATATACAGGAAAATGTTTATTACAATTCAATTCAACATTGTTTTTTAATGTCTATAATAAGGTATATCAGCTAAGACCACAGCTTCTGCACAGATTTCTCATAGAAAAAAGAAACAATTTGTGCCTATACCTTTCTTTTTCCCACATGCACAAACTCTTAATCCCAGGCAAAATTACTCTGCCAATCGTAATATCATATTAATGCCCACAAACCAATGGCACCAATAAGTCTTTGGCTGCATGTAAGCACATACATACATCTGAAGTTTTCCCTAGCACCTCACCAGATCCAATCCTGAAGAATTATAGGATATATACATCTGTTCAATTCTGAATATGTAAAATTATTGAGATTAAGGGAACCACACATAGCACTAGAAATCTACAAGCTCAAAAATAAAACCTTTTTCTGAACGATTATTTCCATATATTTACTATCTGTACTACAATAGCATTTGAAAGTTTCATTTCAAACTGATAAAAATAGCTTTTTCTCTTCCAGATAAATAAGAGAAAAGATTTTTTTTTTCCTGACTATGACTGGGAGAGGTGAAGAATAAACTTTTCCCCCTAAAAATATAAAGGCTGCGGTAGGGAAACTTTTGGATGAGTGGTATGCCAGGCAAAATACTTTTCCAACAGCAAATTTTCATCACACTTCAACTTCTCATCACACTTCACTTCTGTATCAAACTTCTGTTTGATACAGAAGCAAACCTAGTATTTATCCCAGCAACTATATGCAAAGATACAAGCTAACTACTACGAACATGTGTGCAAAGATAATGTAGGAGAGAGGAGTCACTTACTTGATGGTCCAGGAGGGTCTCTGTTCTCACCATGATGCTGTGTACACATACAATTGAGGAATGAAGAACAGCAAACATAAAAATCCAGGCCAGGAAGAAGCAAGTGCACAAAAAGCAGCAGCAGCAGCGGGAAAGAAGGACAATGAAAACAGTGTTAGTTCATAACTAAAATACAACATGCACCTCAAGGCCAAAGGCAAGACCTCAAGAGACTCTGCAGTTCAGAAAAGTTGAAGCAACAAATCTGACAAATATGCCTATAGAAAAGCCATTATTAGAAGCCATCATTAGTAAACAGCAACTGCCTCAACCACTTCTTCTGAGTGGAATCTCTCCAGCAGCAATTTAGTGCTCATATGACTTGATACACAGCATTTTTAAAGAAACATTAAGCTGGAGTGGTTTCAAAAGACTGAAGCTCTGAAGAAAGCTGAAATAACACAATATGTTTCCCAAAACCACTCCACTTTCAAAAAAATGTTTTGGAAGAAAAAAAAACAAAAACGTTTAAAGCCATAAGTAATGTGCAAGCACCTACTAATGCTAGATCCAAGCCTAACTGCTTTTGCATACAAACACAAACTTAGTAGCCACAGATTCAGCTCATGTACAAACACAGGTAACATTTGATATTGCTTAGGATGCAAGACAAACTGTGCGGTTTTAAATTTAAGAGGATATTTTATATCTGAGTATTTTCATAGAACCAAGTTGCATAAAATTTCTCTTCCACTGAATGCATCAAACCTAGGCACTGAAGGAGGGTAACTACACAGTAATATCCTGTAAGCCTTTCTGATATTTGATCTGGAATATTTTTTAAATCCTTGCTAACAAAGACTACAATCAAGGCTAAGAATCCACTGTGCTCAGCCATGTACAGATAAAAGGCAAATTCCACTTATGTCTCTAAGGATTTACTGCATTCGAAATCTGCGAAGAATAGAAAAGGAGAAAACAAGAATCCTGATCAGCATGAACATTTTCTCTTTAAAAACAAAATAAATCCAAACATGACATATCTTCTATGTCCCAAATAAAAATTTATGCTCCATAAAGTAGAGAAGTCCTTGCTCTGCTTTAAAGAGGATCCAATCTTGCCTCTCTTATCAGGACTTAACAGCAAGAAATGTAAAAAAGCGAAATCATAATCAAAATCTTTACAAGCAGGAATCTTGTCTTGCACTCCTGACCTCAAAACACTGGTTATTTTTTTTTTATCCCTCACAGCTGCCTAAGGGTGTTGAATTGCAAAGTGACAGTGCGATGTGCAAATGTGAATACTGCAATGAATATACAGCAATTGCAGTACACATCATCGGAAAGGTGAGGGAACCCTTCTTTCACAATTCTGCATCTGAACAGGACTTGACTGATCAGGAAAACCTGAAATAAAATATAAGCACACTTGGCAAATAACTTTCCATTCCTGCCAGAGACTAAATTCAGGTCAAAAAGTGAAACCCATGAACTTACCAGACACGTTTGAGTACATGAAATGTATTTAAAAATTCTATGGCTTTCAAGGCAAAATGTTTATTCTTAATGTACAGATAACATACTGCAGACTAGGAAACAGTTGATGTTCAGACTGGAACTGTCCTACCCTATGCTGATTTTAGATTCAAGAGAACAGTGGCTGACAAGAGAACAAGAAGGCTGAAGAAACTATACAGAGATCCAGCAACTGACTGAAGGACTGGGAGCACCGCTATTCAGCACTGGGCTGCTTTAGTGGTCACTGGGAGTTGACAGCAAGAGAATGGAACTGGAAAAATACACTGTGAACAGACACACGGGATCAGCAGTACCTGAGGCTCAGCCAGATGCTCACTCGCAGTGCATTACTTACGTGTGCAAGAAACAAGAGGGAAAAGGCAGCGCAGCAGGTCCTGTCTCACTGCCTGCCCTGCAAGCAGCCCTGGCCAAGATACAATGTGACACCAGAGAGCAGGGCAACCTGTCACCTGAGATGGCCATGCAGGGGCTTTGCATGTAAATATTTTAGCATTGCATGGTTAATCCTATGAACTGGTACAAACAGCTCCTATGCCAGAGGCTGAAACACAAGCCTGTCTAATTCTGTCCTCTATCTTCTCCAAGTGACATTCTGTTTACACACCAATCTCTCTTTGTTGCTGGTCAACCCCCTCTCTTCAGACGTATTTGGGTCTGTGTATTTACCTAAAACCTGCAGAATGTATATTTCTAATCATTGGTGCCAGATGTTAAGGCACTGAAATTAGACTATTTTGGCCAAAAAGACCTTTTCATTTTCCAATGGCCTATTGCACCTCTATCATCTGCAATTCATATCACTGCAGACTGGGGTTCCTAAAAACTGAGGGAACAAAACATGACCATTTTACTACTTCAGGGTTATCTCTGAAAAGAATGCTCTCAGGACATTCCTGTCCATCACCACCCACAACTCTTATTCTAAATCTACAAAATTAAGAGAAACATACACATATTCCCAGAGGCACAACCTGGCCTTATTTTCACATTATATAATTGATGACTTTGATTACAGATTACAGAACAAGTTCTCTGACATGTTCTCAACACTAAGTGATTGATTTCATTTCTACAGAGGAACAATTACTTTAAAATTTTGCTACCAAAATACATGAAGCCTAGTCCTTCTCCCAGTAAAGTTTTTGACTAAGAGTTAGAAGTAAAACCAGCAATATAAATCCAGCAATATAAAGCATCACATGAGACAGCAGCTGTAATTGTTTTTATACAAAGGCAGCTTACGTGCTTCAAAAAAGCACTATTTTTAGATGTTTGTTTCTCAGAAATAAAGCTTATAACAACTGCTGCTAAACTTTAAGTTATATCTGCCAAGATCTTCTAAAAAACAAAATCCTTTTCCTGTTGAATATTAGGGTAAAAGCAAAAGTATATTTCACACTAGCTTGTGTGAATCTCTTATTATAAAAGTTTTTTTAAAACACTGTTTTTACAATCAAAACATACAGCTAAATTTTTAATTGTCTAAATGAATATTCTAAAGCCAAGTTTGAGATTTCACCTTGCTGAAGACAGACTTTCCCTGAAGGCAGTCTCTGATGTGTATACCATTGAAATTAATCCAGTTACATTAAATTCAGGACCACTGACCCAACCTCCAAAGCTGATAAATAAAAACAATTCAATGCTTCAAGGAAAAAAGGTACTTTTATGTCTGTTGATGTATTAAGTAACACGGACTGACACTGACTGTAAAAGTTATATCCCAGGCAAATTATTTATTAAATGTATGTCTTAGCAAAAATTAGAAGTGACTGAAAATTACTAAAAATATTTCAAAAAAGAATGGTTTATACCACACATTTCCATGTAATGTTCTAAGCTCTGGGGAAGCGAGACTTGATTAAATTTTTGTTTCATAGAAAAGTAGACAAAAACTGTTCTCAAACTGAGAGCATCTATTATTTTGCACTGTTTTAATGGTGTCAGACTACAAAAATCGTTTGCTGAGCTGTCACAGCCTTTGTCTTCAAATTTATATTCAGTATGTATCAACCTAATTGTTAGACAGAAAGAGAACTTAATATAAGACTTTTCTCTGTACACTGATTCTGGAAAAGAAAAAGCACAGCATTAAGGCCTGTGATCACCTCATCTTGTGTTCTTTAATAAGCCAGCCAAAAAAGCAAACTAGAAAGCTGACACCTCTAAAAATGGTTTTTTCAGACACCTCCTAGAAACATCCCAAAGGACTTAAAAGTGGAGAAAATATCTGATCAGTATTCCTTATGCATATTACTACACATGTATTTCATTAATTTTATCATGACAATGGAACTTTAAAAAAAAAAACAAACAAAGATTGCACCTAAAAGCCTGGAATACTGAAAAATTTTAAACGTGATTTCAAAAAATTTAAATTTCTGCAAAGTATCAGGATTTGCACTGACTAAAGGTCTTCAAAACTACTAGGTCAATCTCTCTTAAAAGACCTATGGAACGTCACTATTTAATTTCCACTTTTTTTACTATGATATACACTAGGCTGTACATTAGACTACCAAATAAGCTTTCAAAAATGTTTTTAACACCTGTAGTGCAACACACAAAACTTGATATTTTAACTGCAATTTAGACAGATAATTACCCCACTGGCTGATATTTTGATAAGAAATGCTTAGACTAGTGTATTAAAATACACCATTAGTTAAAAAAAAATATATATATTCTGAGATGACACTTCAGAAGCACATAGGATGAAAGGCAATCTATCCTTACACTTAGCATTCTTCTAAAGCAGTCTTGGTAAAACAGAGACTCATTTTGAGGTACCTTCTTAAGATCCTGCTACTCTGAAGGCATGTCACAAAAAGAAAAGTAGCACATCTTACATTATTTTGAAGTGTTTTGCAAACTGGCACTTTTTTATATATTTTGAGGAAACAAGGAGTACAACAACTGAACTGACAGCATTTTAAAAAAAAATTTAAAATACCCTACTGCACAGTTGGCAGTTGATACTCATAAGTATGCTGCATCTGGGATATAAATGCACGGGCCACGCAGCAAACCAATGAATCTGTTTGTTACAGAAAAAAACCAAGAATTTTCTTAACACACTGCAAAACAGTTTGTCTCCAAACTCACCACTTAAGATAAAAACAGTAATAAAACACTTGATCAAGTTAATAGCTCCATGCAGTAGCTCAGTATCACAAATAAAGTTTGTCAATAATGAGGTGTTAAATTTGACCTTCACCTCAGTTACAGAAAAACATATCCTATTTTGCCTTTGCAAGGCAGTGCTTTGGAAACTATAAAACATTTCCTTCTTCAGCTATTAAAGTGCTTCTACATGACACAGCTTGTGGAAAAACTAAACTCTTAAATAATTTCAACATTTATGATGATGATAAAGCATGATAGTACGCACTAGCCTTTCCTGATTTTAAATCGTGCTCAGAAAGAGCTTCATTGCCTCAGAAATTTTATAATCAGTACACATTATCAACTCTTACACCTCAGATGACTCTGATAAATATAATTATCACTCCTTCTGTCTTTTCTGGTCCTCATTCCACCAAGAACTACATTATTTTTTCTATTGTCCATAGTCACTAACTAGCAAAGTGCCAGTTAGACTTCAAGAGGAATACCTTTTTCCTTTGGGACTCTGAGACAAAATCCAAAAATCAAATCCAAAATCTAGAAGTTTTTTGACATTCAGCCCTCCTGCCACGAGAATCTATTAAATGGTATGTGATACTACATAACATTCATAATATTCCAAATGCATTCACCAGAAAAGTATCAAATCAAAGCGAAAGTGAAGAGATTCAAATCTTTTAACCTTCTCCCTGCAAAAACATTTTCACATTCATCTCATTACACAAAGGCACACTTAAGTTACTCACTGAATTTCTATCCAGCTCCCCATCAACCGGAACGTTCTCCATGTTGAAAGGACCTGTTCTCTGTCTCTATCAGAGTTCTTCCATCCTGCTACTCAAGATCCTAGAGAGAAAAAGAAAAGTGTAATAATTGAATTCCAAGGGCTGAATTCCAGTAGAGAGCTACACTTTCTCTTCCCTCTGTTTTATGAGTCTAAATAGTCTCATAGGGCAACAACCTCTGCATTTTACAGTACCTTGCAAAACATGAACATTTACTCAGAGAAACCAGCTTAGGAATGGAGAGAATAGTTTCAGATAAAATGGCCAAAACAAAAACTACTCAGAGATAAGCACTTACTTCTAAAAATAAGGAAGAGTCATGAAAAAAAAAAAAAAACCAAAAAAAAAACCTCAAAAAGCCACAGGTTTTGCCCTGTATTTCCCGTTGTTCCAGAGTTCCCAGCAGCACACCGCTCCCCTCCCCACAGGCATGTGCATGCCAACTGTTTGGGTACAAAACAAAGCTGTTCTGGAGCAGCCAGAGTTGAGGGCTTCCCAGCATAACTCCAGAAACAGCCATGTACTGCTCTGTGAAACCAAAACACAAAAATTAAATAATATGTGCAAGCCAGCACCTTCTGTGGCACAGCGGGCACTCCTCTGGGGGTCACCACACGCAGCAGGAAAGCAATGCCTCATTCTCTAGGCATTTCCTATTTACTTTTTTTGCAAGAGAATGAAACCCACAATGAACCTTAGTATTCACAGCTTATTTAAAGTCATTAGCGAGACAAGCACACACCCTGGAATCCAGCAAAACTTGGTGGAAAAGAAGTGCTTTAACCATTGATTTGTTAAGCAAGTTTCAGGAGAAGCGCAGATCAGGGATGCCTACTGAGATGTGCAGCTACAGCCCATCGCTCTGTGTCTGTCCAAGTCCTCCATCCAAGAGGACAGCAGGGGCTGAGGAGGCTGTGCTTACCTGTTCGGAACAGTGCCGTCGGTACTGCGCACGGACAAAACCCTGCGCTCCCACCCTGCACGGAACCGCACTCACTCTGCCCTTCCCGCCAGCCACAGCAAGTGCTTCATCACAGAACTAGCCCAAGGACAATTCTCTTCTTTCCTTTTGTCTTGGGTGGGGTGAGGGGGTAGGAAGCAGCTAAGTTACAAGCTCAGTTGCTAAACCAACACTTGTGCAAGAGCAGGGGTAGCACAGAGATGGTGATATGTTTTTCATGCGATAATGTTTGCATATTGTTCTTAATCTATGCATCAAACTAATGGCAAATTTTAGTAAAAACAGATTAAGTGAAGACAGAAGGGTGAGGTGGGAAGACACATCACAGTCCCTCCAGGGAACCTGAGGAACATCCTGAATGCAGGAGGATGGGAGAAAGGCAAACAGATAACCAGAATACACAGGATCTTCTGGTTCAAGGTCTGTCTCAGGAAATAGACACTCATGAAAACAAATCTCACAAAAAAGAATAACCATTTATTGTATGTCTTTCCATGTTTTATTATAATTGGTTTTTGGGTTTGTATTATGTAAAGCAAGTAAGAATTTTCCCTCAGGAAAAAACATACAGTATTAATACACTCTAGATAATTACTATAACATATGCCAGTAAACCACAAAAGGAACCATTAAAAAATAGTTTAACAAAACAATTGTGTGCTAACAAAATTGCAAAGTTAAAAGTTTTCTATGACTTAGCCCAATGAACTGAGGAGGACCTTGCTCAAGCACCTGAGTGATTAACCGAAGTGGCACATAATTGGGAAGCATGGCTAGATGCTCTCATGTGAATTAGAAACAGTAGACATCTGAAAGAAGATGACTACAAGTTATTAATTTGCACTAATAAAAGGAAAGATGCCATTATCACAGCAAGAGGAATTCACCCTAAAGCTCTGTTTCCCAGAGCAACAGGCCCTGCAACTCTTACCTTCCACACCCAAACATGAGATGCAGACCTGGGTGATGATTTTTGATGTCTGTTGCTTGTCGTCTCTCCTCCACACACCCATTTTAGGTTCTCTTATTAGCAGGAAATTCAGCAACACCAGACTGCATGCACATTCAATTTGCAGAAACACCAAGCTCTTTTAAATAGGATGAAAAATGAGTGGCATTACAAACAGATGAAAGCACTGCTATTTAAAGCAGTTTTTCAGCTTTTTTTAGTTACACAAACTTGTAACCGTACTCAAGTTATCCGAACGAACAGATCTTTGCTGACAGGAACATTTTAACCCATTTTTATATTTAACATTTTTTAACTCTTAACTTTTATTCTCAGTGCTTCTGGTGTGTTCTGCTCCTCCATCTGCTCACATGATCACAGCCTTCCTTATCTTAGTCTCAAGAGCAGCACCATCAAACAGGTACCCTCTGGTCTAATTCTTAGCATTCACGATCACTTGTGGTCCCAAAGACTCAATCCAGCATGCAAGGCTGCAAAGTCTTCTGGGAAAAGGAAGGAAAAAATTCCACCTGCTCAAGTTTAAACAGTAAAGCAGGTGCAGAAATGGTTAAGGACTACCTTCCCCCAAGCTGTTTAGCTTATGAGTAGACAGCCAGCTTGCCTTATTTTTCTTGGCAAAATGAAGGCTGAAAGTGAACAATATTGCTTCTGTTATATGCCAAAATAAATACAAAGGAAGGAAAAGGGCTCTCTCAGCAAAAGGATATTGCCAAAGAGTCAAACAAGTATGAAATTGGAGAACAGATTTATTTTGAAAATTACAGAATGCTTCTAACCATCTGAGCCCCAAGGCTTTGAAACAATTTTGCAAACAACGCAGGGAAATGGAATTTTCTTATTTGTAAATGCAGCCAGGTTATTATAAAGGTGTTTCCACAAGCAAGCAAGCTCTTTTCTACTTTATCCAGCCATTAGATTTGAAGATACAGCCCTAAATGTATCATTTTATTGATCTCAGGGTTTTTCTAGCTTTTGGGGAATGTTCATGAATGTTCAGCTTTTGCTGCTCTCTGTTACATTCAAAAGTGTTTGCAGTTTGGTCAGCTTGAGGTTTTAATTAACAAATGCTCCTTCACAATCTTAATTCTTAAAAGCTTAAGTGTTCAGGAGGGTACATGCAAAATGAAGTTATTTGAAAATAACTATATAATGGCAGCCAGCTAGTCAGCTATTTTCCCTCTCCAGACATTGGATACAATCAGGCACACACAAAGGTATTACTTACTTAAGAGGACTGTATCAATCAGACAAATCCTGCCACAAAATAAGCTCTTTCTCTCCAACTGTGAAGAAGGCTGAACAAGTCAAAGCCATATATTCAAAGCAGAAGGGAAATGTTTTCCTCTTATCACACAATCCATAATCTGTCCTGTTAACACTTGTAGTCCATCTTATTTTTTGCTGATGACACCAAACTGTGTGGAGCAGGTGACAAGCTAGAGGGAAGAGGTGCCATCCAGAGGACCCTGGCACACTTCAGAGTTGCGTCTCTGCAACCCTCAGGACATCAGTTCAACAAGGCCAGGAGCAAGGTCCTGCACCTGAGCTGGGGCTATCCCCAGGACAAATACTTGCAAGCACAAATACCCAAGGCTGGGTGGAGAATGGGTAGAGAATTTCCTTTTCCTAAGGAAAAGGAACTGGGGATGCTGGTGGATGAAAACTAGACATGACCCAACAACATCTGCTTGCAGCCCAGAAAGACAGTGTATCCTGGGCTGCATCAAAAGAAGCGTGGTCAGCAGGTCAGTCCACCAGGTCATTCACAAATCTACTTCACTTTTGCAATGTTAATATTTGATACTAGAAAGAAAGTATTTCCTGTGAGGGTAGTGAGGCACTGCAACAGGCTGCCCAGAGCAGCTGTGGATGCCCCATCCCTAGAAGTGTTCAAGGCCAAGTTGGTTGGGGCTTTGACCAACCTGGTCTAGTGGAAGATATTCCTGCCCATGGCAGGAAGATTGGAGCTAGATCACTTTTAAGGGCCTTTCAAACGCAAACCATTCCATTCTGGAGTTCCATTGTTTTAAAAAATTGCTTCAGCCATTGGTAGTTTTTGTAACAATTTGTTTTTCAATTCATTGCACCTTGAGAATAGGAAAATCCTCCTCAGGTCTCCCACAGAAGGAAAGAAAAATATGCATCAATGAAAGCCACTACTCTACATGAACAGGATCTTCTCTATCTACACACATGCATGCTGGAAAGTCCTGTGGGAAGAGGTAAGAAGACAGCTCCCATCATTAAAAATATAATTTCAAAGGCCATAAAATAGATGTCTCAGTACTACACTGTTACCCAATACTCTCTTAGACACAGTTACACAAACCACAGATCAAAAACAGCACAACTTAGGTACCTTGGCCATGAGAGAAACTCTGGTAGCAAGCTTTTGTTCAGTCCTGTACAGACCAGTGAAGTGGGTATGGCAGTGTTCTGCACTGACTTACATATTCTCTGTTAACCAGATTACATAAGTTTTTATTGCAGGGTATTAGGTAAAGGGGTTATTAGGCAATGCCCTTTTTCTGCCAGCATAACAAGAGCTCATCACAAACATGATATTTGTTCTATGCAGAAGAGAGTTTAGCCCTGACACTGTGGCAGTAATACCCAATTGGTGGCAAATTTATAACATTAAATTATAATCCAATTCACAAAAAGATTCTTCCTCCCCTTCTCCAACACAAGATTAGCTTCAGTTCAAATACTTCACTAAATCATCTAGAGTCCCCACTGTCCCCACACAAATTCCTGAATTTCAGCCAAGGTGCAGCCACAAAGTGCAAGTGGTAGAGATGACCCCTGAATCTAACACATTTTCTTTGTAGTCAATGACCATGTTACTTGAACACCTGCATAGTGTATTATATAGGCAGGTTTTAGCTTTCTTCCTAAGGACCATGACCTAGGGTCCTTAGACCGGGCAGGTGCACTGCAGTACTGTTTTGGGACCCGTCACAGTATCCTAGTACCCTCCTGCACTCCAGCACCAAACCTCAAGGCAAGCCCAGCCTTGCCGTGCCCCACCACTGCCTGCCTGTGAAATGGCTGCTGCCTCCTCACCTAGCCTTTCCAGAGGGGAACTGCTCTCCTGGGGTCTGACCTCCAAACTGACCTAAGCTCTGCT